CTATTCTTCTTTATGTTTTAGTGGGAAGTGAAGTGATGATGAACCGCACCTACTGGAAAGTTGCTGTGGGTATTAAAATATAGGCCTTTTGTTTTTAGTAGATAGCGAGCGCTGTAATAAAATATACTGGAAAATGAGTCCGACTGTATGTATTCCTTTCTTCTAAACCTCACCATGAATCCTGCTTTTCTCCAAACGTTAGTTCGGCAATTTCAAGGCATCGTTTCAATTTTTATTTTTTCATAAAATATTAATTTGCCTTGTTCAATTTTAAATCCATGAACGGACTCAGTTAGTTTTTCAATACATAGGGGACCATAGAAAAACCCTCCCCTGTCCATTGGCATCTGATTCGAAGCGGGGTACAGTCTTATTACTCGAAAAACTAACACTTTCTGAAAACCAATATGTTTTTAAAACTGTAATTTGTTAAATGGGTGCTGAGTTTTAATCGAATGTGGTGTTGTTTTTTGGTGATTAGCTAAAAATCCAAGAGAAAGAATGGAACCCCCAAGGGGTTTGTGGGCTTCTTCATGGAGCTTCATCCGTTTCTTGCCTTTCTTCATTGGCCTCCTCATACTTGGCTTAATTAAAGGTTCGTAGCTTACAGTAATTGCCTATTCTGTTTTATTGGTTGCGTTTCTTGATGTTCTGTTTATCTGTACTGTACTGTAAATTTTCTATTTTCATTTTTTCTAATTGTAGCAACATCCTCTTAGCTCTGTTGTGTGATTCGCGTAGATTTAGATTCAATGGTGATTTATGTGTTAGAAAAGAGTGACTTCTCTTTTTTCAGGTGGACTCAGTTTTTAGTTTAGCATAGATATGTGGTTTTTTCTCCCCCAATTGAAATAAATGTTGAAATTTTCTTCTTGCGCACTTAAAATGGAAACTTATGGAATCCTTTACCGTGTTAGTTTCATTTATAGCTTTGACAAATGGTGCTTCACAAATGACTATTTTATAGTTCAGTCATAATAAATTTTGCTAAGTAGCTATAGATTTTAGTATAATTTTTTGTCATTTCTTGATTCAGGTATCATTATGTTCCCAGTGGTATTTCTCATAATAATAACTGGAGCCTCTGGCATAATATTCGGTCTTTGGCCTATCCACAGCTTTTATACTTACTATTGCATTTTGAGGTACATTTTTTAATAATATTTGAATTTCTTTCTTGTATCACTTCTCCTTCAACTAGACATCCTAATCAACATCTTTTTTCTTTCAGTACAAAAAAATTTGGACCAGCTTTGAAGCTCATACTCTGCATATTCCTTCCTATCATCCTAATAGCATGGCCACCTATTGGTATTGCCTGTAGTGTTATAGGTGGGGCCGCATATGGCCTTCTTGCACCAATGTTCGCCACTTTTCAGGCAGTTGAGGAAGGGAAGACGGACAAATTTTATCACTGTATTTTCGTACGTAAAATCTCGCCAAGTCTAATTTGTTTATCGTATTTTCCTTACTATTCGTAATGTCAGAATTAGATGTTCTGTTCTTGCAGGATGGAATTTGGAGCACTTTCGAGTCAAGCTTCACGATAGTTAGGGATTTTCTGGATGTTTGTTACTATTCTTACTTCTCCATTATGGGCGATTTAAGACGTCAAGGGCCTCCAGAGGGGAAATACTATGAGATTAGGTCCATTACTATTTTTCTGTTAAATAGAATCATATATTAGTTGAATGTGAAGTTCTGCATTGAAAAACTCACGTTCTCAATTGTTTAGAGATAATATATATGCAATTTTCTGTTTAAAAAGTTGGGCTTTCCTGTGTTACAACTCTTTCAGTTCCTGTAAAATCAAAACATTCCCTTGTATGCTAGGATATCGTCATAATTTCATTTTCAAGACACTTTTCTAATTGATTTTATATTTGCAGCTTGTTATATGTTCCCCTAGGCCTTATAGCCGGGGCACTTGGGTCCATAATTGATCTCCCAGTGATTACAGTTATAGCCTTGTGCAAGAGTCCTTATATGCTTTTCAAGGGTTGGCATCGTTTGTTTCATGATTGCATAGGCCGTGAAGGACCATTTTTGGAGACTATATGTGTCCCACTTGCTGGCCTTGCAATTTTATTGTGGCCATTGGCTGTTGTGGGGGCAGTCTTGGGATCAATATTGTCGAGCATTTTCTTGGGTGCTTTTGCAGCAGTTGTAGTGTATCAGGTCAGNAAGGGTTTGTTCCCACATTATGCATTCCCTTCATAAATTAAGAATTTTCTAACAAATCCACTTTAAAGTTCTAAAAGGTTTTAATGGTCAACCCGGTAAGGTTTATTTATAATTTTGGTTATAATATTAAGTTGTTGACCTTTTAAGGCTTATTTATAAGTTTTGTAAGGTTTATTTATAAGTTTGGAACTTGTCTCGGTTTTTCTGTAATCACTCCAAACCTCAAGAGCACTTTCGTAGTTAACTTCTAAATTCAAATAATATAAAATAAAATAAAATTTTCCGAGTTATATTTGAAAACAATAGATATCCATCCCCTTTGATACTATTGCAAGTTGCTCCTAGTTTGTAGTTCTGGATAATAACTAGGTTTTGTTGTGATTAGGCAAAACCTCAAACATATTTTTTCCTTTATATGACTGTCATCTCAAGAATAATTCATTTGTTTGAATTTCAGGAGAAATCTTTCTGGTTTGGACTTTGTTATATTGTTTCTTCTTTGTCGATATACGATGAGTACAGCAATGACATTCTTGACATGCCTGAAGGTTCCTGCTTCCCGAGGTTCAGACACTCATTTGCATACATAAGTCGTGCTTCATTGTACTATCTCGATTATCAAATATAAAATGTGGTATTAATTTGGCGTTCCATTTTTTTTCCTCGTTTATGTCGAAAAAATTACAGACCGAGATACAGAAAGAAGACCCCATCACGAACTACCTCTCATTCTGCTTCTTTCTCAAGGCCTAACTCTTTCAAAAATCCACCTGCACGTACAAATTCAATGAGCACACCTATGCTTGAGTTGAAGCCCCTTGAGGTATACTGGTGCTAATTCTCAGAATGCACATGATTTTTGGACAATTACCTAAAAGAAAAGAAAGAAAAAAAGATGCAAAGACCCCTTTGAGATCTGTATTTGTTTTATATAATGTCGAGGAATTTCTTAATTCTTTGCTTTTTTCCAATCTGTTTGGTAATTGGGCTGAGCTTGTAAAGAATTTATAACTTATTACTAAAATGTCTGAATCATAATCTGTGTGTAGTTAGCTGATGCCTTGTTCAAAGAGTGTCAGAGGCATGGTGAAATTATGGCTTTGGAAGGTATAATTACCCTAAAAGACATTGAAGATGCAAAGAATAACAAAGACAGTGGTGGGGTAATAAGCATTGGTTTACCTGCTTATTGCATTCTTCGGTCACTCTTGCGTTCGGCAAAAGCCAACTCAAGTGGGATTTTGCTAGGTTAGTGAATCTCTTAAATGATGAAATTTTTTATAATTCTATGAGATTGTTTGGAAGATCAGGATATGTTCTTTTCTTTTTTATATATATTATATAAATATCTTTTGCTTGATTATGCAGGTGACAATGTTACTGAAATAACTTCCTCAAACAGGCCGAAAGATACATTCTTTGACTGGTTTCTTAATCCTCTATTGATTATCAAGGACCAAATTAAAGCTGACAATCTTTCTCAAACGGAGGAAGAATATCTTGGCAAGTTGGTGATATTAAGCGGTGATCCTTCAAGATTGAAAAATTTGAACATTGGTCCTGTACCTGAATCCGAGATTAGGCTTGCCGAACTTAATGCATTGGCTCGAAGGTAAATATGATCATTTTCTCTAATTCATTTTTCTATTTCTTTTTTTTTTCATTAAGGATTCAACATTTCTCGTTCTCCACTGCCTTTTGCTTTCAATGCAAATCAAAAACTGAATTGTAAAATGAATTTTTTTTTCTTCTTACGGTCAAAGATTACGAGGAATCACTAAATCAATATCAAGATATCCAACTTTCAGACGTCGTTTTGATAGTAGCATAAAGAACATTCTAGAACAGCTTGGTAAGAAGAATGGGAGTAGCATCAAATCTAGCACTAGTTCAAAGAATATGCATAGATCGAAAAGTATGATGGAACGCTTTTTTAGCCAGAAATCCTTTAAAGGCAGATCAGACGACAATGGTGATGATCAACAGGCTCAGACAGCATCGGAGGTGGACATTGAAATCAGATAAATTGGTGCAATTTCCGAGNTTTTTTGGGTTCATTGTTGTTGTATCAAGCTGTACTGCATTTTGGCATTCATCTCCCTGTAGTTGTATATTTTCTTCTAACGGTTCATGACGTTTTTGAAAGTTTAAGATAAGATATGCATATAATGGTCCTCCTCCTTTTTCCTATATTTTATTCTTTTACAAAATAAATCTTTTTTTAATAGTTTGGACACTGATCTCTCATAAATCTATATTTTACATCCAGTGGAAGAAAGTCGTTGGGGAAGCCATTGGAGTTTCACATTGGTAGTGTTGTTGCACTGCAACATTTTATTTAAAAAAATAAAATAAAATGAAAATACAGTAAGTTAGCCCGTTACCAAAATGGATATGTTATCTTGGACTTCATAGACTCGTTACAATAATTTGACGATTGTCGTCCGGCCGAGTGATCTATAGTTGTACTCGTCTCGTCGTACAATAACGTTTCAACGTAATTAGAGTTTTTTACCCATTCATGTTTTTGTAAAATATTTTCTGCGCATATTATTTTTTTACCTGCTTTATTTGAATATGCTAATAAACGTTTATTATTTATTTTTTCCTTATGGGATATAATCTAAATTTGGTAATAAATTTTTAAATTCAAACATTTAAAGAAAAAGATCATAAGCAGATTTTTTTGGGTAAATTCTTTATCTTGATTTTCATATAATCACATTACTAACAAACTAATTAATATTATATCTTTTATCTACATTATATAACCGATTTTTTTATGATATAATTAATATAATATCTTAACTAACTAAGCATTAATCTAACCGAATCTATCTCTCTAACAAACTTGCCAATTTTTTTGAAATTAAAATGGTATGATTATCCTTGCGGAGATACTTACCAACTAGTACGAATCTCATGCGATGCAGAAATTCGATTTGATTACAACTAGTACGTGGCCTGTGCGATGCACGGGAAAATAATATTTTGATTGTATTATAAATTAAATAAATAAATAACATTAATCATGATTTACCCATTATTTATAAATTAAACCGGGTTGGACGCAGTCCGACCGGATGGACCGAGAACCGTTTTATAACCGATTTACTGCGCTTGAATAAAATATTTACTATCGAATCCGCCAACACCAGTATGTTGGACTTGTAAGATCGATACCATTTTCTAGACAAATTTTGTTACATGAAAAATTATTTTAAATAAAATTACATATTTAAATAAAATAGAGATTTATAAATTGTTTATCAATTAGTTTAAACATTTGAATTTATAAATTGTTTAGATATTTAAGTAACACTTTTTATTTAAATTTATTACAAAGAGTACTATATATATATATATATTAAAGTATTATGTATTAAAATCTGAACAACAACAAGACGGTCCGATTCTGAAAACCTTATATTTACCGTACATTAATAAAAATGATAATGAAATAAATATTTCGTTCACATAAATAATAATAAAATGATATATAAATATTCATAAATCATTATTCATGTTGTCATAAAAGTATTGTTAATATGATTATTTGAAGTTTGGACTACATCACATTCACGTAATAAAGTATTTTCAATATTAAAATTTATATTTAGGTTCAATAATCAATTTGGTCTGGTCAAACTGATACATAACTTAGTTACCTCGGACCAACAAAGTTGTGTCAAGTTTTTTTGACTATTTTAAATATCACCTAAAAGTAATTCAATCAAAGTGGGCAGTACCCTAATTCAATCACTCGATTGATCCAAAGTAATTTCCTTATTTTCTTTAAATATAATATTTAATTTTATGAAATAAAAATATTTTATGATTCATATGTCTACACCAAATGATAGTATATTAAGATTATAAATTATATATCTAAAGATGAACTATTTATTTTTATTTTATGCATATTAATAAAAAATAAACATAGTAATTAAAAAAAAATTAAGATTAATTGATTGAGTATACAATTTAAAAAATATTTTCAACGTTTAATATATATATATATATATGTATATATAGGGATTGGTTCCAATGCATCCCATTATTTAAAGTGAGGACGTGAGACTCATTCCTAGCCACAAGATTTAGATCTTGATTTAAATAATAATTTTTTACTTTTATTATTTAATTCTTTATTTTTAATTATTTAAATATTATTATGACCATTGACCGTTGACTCCGGCGTTGACTTCCGGCGAAAATTGTTGACTTCCGGCGTTGACTTTCGACGTTGACCGTTGACCATTTGTCTTTTGTTATGTTATTTCTTTCTTGTTAGGTTAGTTGTGTCTTGTTGCTAGGTTAGTTGTTTGTTGTTGCTAGGTTAGTTATTTGTAGCTGCTATGTTAGTTGAGTTTTGTTGCTAGGTTATTTTTTTCTTGCTGCTAGGTTAGTTGTCTTTTGTTGCTAGGTTAGTTCTTTCTTGCTGCTAGGTTAGTTGTCTGATGCTGCTAGGTTAGTTGTCTTTTGTTGCTAGGTTATTTCTTTCTTGCTGCTAGGTTAGTTGTGTTTTGTTGCTAGGTTAGTTGTCTTTGTTGCTAGTTTAGTTGTTCTTTCTTGCTGCTAGGTTAGTTGTGTTTTGTTGCTAGGTTAGTTCTTTCTTGCTGCTAGGTTAGTTGCTGCTAGGTTAGTTGTGTTTTTGTTGTTGTCTTGAATTAACAACTTAAAATTAAACACAGTTGATGTCAAGAAAATGAAGATAAACGTTTAATTGGATTTTATTGTTTTTGTTCACAAGAGTACAGAAGTCGGTTTTAGATTAGAAACCGAGATTATTTTTATTCGTGTACAATGTGTTCGAAAGGATCCTCGTACTATCATAAATTCTGCTATTTATAGTACGGTGGCTTTTGTCTTCTTGCTCGAAATAGATAAAGATGCATTTATGGTTAGCTGCTTTGCTTGAAGCGGTGGGAAACATCAATGATTGCCTTTTTGTTTCGTTGGTCCAATCAAATGCTTCTAATGATTACTTTCTGTTGGAATATTCAAACTCTGTAATAGTCGGTTGACCTGAAGTCGGTTTACTTGTGTTGGCTTCAGATATCGGTTTTGGTTCTTTTGAAGACCTTTCGGAAGTTGGATCTTTTGAAAGTCGGTAATTCTTTACAAGTCGGTAATTTGTTCCAATACATACCGACTTGTAGTAAGTTTACTTTCTCGCGAATTTACTTCTTCAATAATACGATTAATTTCCATCTTCAATCTCTGTTACTGGATTTGATATCAACAGTGAGGCCCCCGACATCAGTAAGTATTTGAAGCTTTTTAAATGGTTGCTGATGTCGTTTGTTGTTCCACTTTATTCCGACTTGTTTTGCATTGTTTACCGACACGAGAACACTTGCTTTATTTGACACTATGGTATTTGATCTGACATGGCGGCTCTTAAAAGACGTGTCCGCATTAAATGGGTCCAACGGATACAATTTTGTAACGACATGGCGTTTCAGGATATGGCCACGTAGGTTAATAATTACTGTAACGTTATGTCCTTTGAAGACACGTCCGTTACACGCGCCGTTTCCGGATACTTCTAACGGTCATAAATCAAAACCTATAAATTAAAGTCGGTTTCGATACGCGAAAAACTTCTGTACCTTAAATTTCTTTGGTATTTGTCGCATTCTCAGTAATCTTTCCTTTGCATATTTTCTTTGCGCTCTTGCTTTTTTCTGTGATCTTTTCGTCAACCCAGGATTCTCGAAAGTTTCGGTAAGACTTGCCCTAATTTTTCTCATTTTCTTGTTCCGTCTTAAATTCTTCCTTTAATTTTGTTGATTTCGGAAAGAAAAATGTCGACACGAACTGAGGATAGTAGTAGTAGGACGATTTCTGATATTCCGATTTTAACCGATGAGGATTTGGAATTGCCTCTCGAGTATTATTGATGGGATCCTCTGTTGGTGAAACAATTGAATCTGAATAGAGACATCGTCGAGACAGATAAGAAAGTTGAAGAAGATGCGATGTCGCTTCCTGACTATTGGAGACGTCCAGCTCGGCGATGGCCTGAACCAATCGATGAATACCGAGGTGAACCAAGTATTCTTACAGACGCCGACATCGTCATTCTTCGGGACGAGATTTTTATTCCTTCATCGGTTAAGTTATTTGCGCCTTACCCGGGCGAAAGGATTACTTGTCCGCCACCAGGTTGTGTGGGCGTGTTTGCCGACTCGTTAAGATCGGGACTTCGATTTCCTCTCCCAGCTCTCATCACAGACTATTTAAGGAATTGGGGAGTTAGTCTGTGTCAAATTGCACCAAATTCATGGAAGAGAATTATCGGTCTTATGGTGCTTTTGAAAGAGAAGGGTTGGGACATGCCAACTGTTGAAGAAATCAGAAATTTATATTCCTTCAGACGATGTGCTGATAGACAAGTATCGGATCCTCTGATCTGTTATGCTTGTGCAGGAAGGCCTCAAGAAGGGCTGAAAATCGGTGATTTGATTACCGATATTCCTGAGCCGCTTCATGGATTTCAGGAAGAATGGTTATGGGTCGGAGGAGATTGGCAGACTCCCAATTTTTTGAAACCCACAATTGATGGGATGTCAATCCCTATCAATATTAACTCGAGTTGTTTAAGTTGAAGAAAGCTCAACGCAGTTTTAAGTTGGTTCTGAAGAACTCAAGATTGAGAGCTGCTGGTCTTTGTCCTGAAATTTCTGACAGTTCATTCCAACCAGGTAATCTTAAGCAGTTTATTATCTGCTTTAAGTCGGTTTATTTTCGAGAACTGTTGTAACTCGGTTTCATATTCATTTTACAGTGTACTATCCGCTTATCGGGGTTCTCGGTTTTAAGACCATCCGAGACGCAAAAGCTTTCCGTCAAAAGAGTCCGAACTTAGACCTTCGAACCAAAGTAGGAAAGAGCAAGGAGTTGCGTCTGACAGGAATGGGTCGTAAGAAGTTGGTGAAAGCTTACCTGGAGAACCCGATTATGAATCCACCGAAAACCGACATCGGTGATGGTGTGACGTCGGCGGCTGCGATTGTGGTTCCGCAGCCGAATCCTCTGGCTATTGCAGCAGAAGGTCC